GAAGGGTCCAATGATAACAACATGCAATAGCAGCCTTCCAAACAAACCGCAGTGTCGACAGAAGGAGGAGGAGGAGGCCGAGGAGGAGGAAGAGGCTGTCTCTTATACACATCTAGATGTGTATAAGAGACAGCACACACACACACACACACACAGAGGAAAGAAAGAAAGAAGAAAAAAGCAGTTAAAAGAAAAACGAAGCACAAATAAATAATAAAATTGCACTACAATCATTGAACTCCTCCTACCAATTTCAATACCTTGAATTCCAAAATTGCCAAGTTGCCAAAATTGGTGTATTCCGAAAGGTCAAAATTTCTCAAGAAGAATTTAAGACATTTTTTGAAGCAGTGTTTTTTTGGGAATAATTGGGAATTTGGGATATCGAAGCCCTTCCAATTCAATCATACAAAGGACTTTTCTTGTTTTGTTTCGTCTCTAATAACTTATTTATTTCTGAACGAAGGAGATCATGAGGCCTTGAACTCTGTCAGAGCTTGTTGTGTTGCAGCTGAGACCACAGAATCTGATGCATTAGGTAGGTAGTAGTATTTCCCTGCACAGACAGACAACAGCCAGTCAATTTTCAAAAAAAACAACAGAGAATCAATTTAGCCTGTACAGTTAATAGAAATTTTAGAACTATAAGTCTATAGCTATAAAATTGTAAAATAAAATTTCATGATCTTTAAAACAAAAAAACTATGAAATTGTAAACTAAAATTTTATAAACTTTCGCCCCTTCGCCGCCCCCCCGGCCCCCCCCTGCTCCCTTCTCTAAGGCACACAAAGCAAAAGTCAACAAACAAATATCCAACCAAAGAAATAACCAAACACATAACAAATAAACAATAATTAAAAGAGAAAATCATGGTTACGATACAGACATCCGGATCCCTGTCCAGACGGTCCCGGTCTGGATGTCGAGCCAGACGTCCAGTCCTGCCAGTCCAGATGGGGGGCTTTTTTCTGGTCTAGGGCTGAGCCCCAAGAAAATATTTTGGGTATTTTTCTGGCCCTTACAGTTTGCCAAACAGGCCGGGCTGAGACTAATTCTGATTGATTGATTGAGAGAGAGAGAGAGAGAGAGAGAGAGA